TTGCCAAGTACCTTGATTTCAGCTCTTAGCATATGCCCTGTTCTCTCCTCTACCTCCACCCTAGTGCAGGCCCTCATCACCTCACACCTTTATTACTGCAATAGACTACTGGTGGGTCTGCCTTCCTCATTTCTCTCCCTGCTCCAGTCCATCTTCCACTCAACTGTCAAAGTGATCTTAAAGCACAGATCTGACCGCCCCCCCACCCCCCCACTCACTAGTGGTTCCCTATCACCTCTAGGATCAAATATAAAATGCTCTGTTTGACGTTTAGAGTCATTCACAATCTGGGCCCCATCCCACCTTTCCAGTCTTCTTACACCTTACACCCTCTCCCACTGACTTTTCAATGTCATTCCTCTTTGCTGTTCTTGCACAATACAGGCCATCTCCTGACTCTGGACATTTGTACTGTTTCTTTCTCATACCTAGAATACTTTTCCCTTCTCATCTCTATCTCCTGGCTTCTTTCAAATTCTAGCTAAAATCCCACCTTGTATAAGAAAGCTTTCTTTATCCCCTTAATACTTTATTGATTTTTTCCAATTTATCCTGTATCTGTCTTGATCGTACATAGTTGTTTTCACATTGTCTCCTCTTTGGATTAGGAACCTCCAGAAGGCAGGGACTTCCTTTGCCTTTCTTTGTATCTCCAGCATTTAGCACAGTGCCTGGCACATAGTAGGTACTTAATAAATGCTTGTCAACTGACTGGCTTTAAATAGAAAGCAAAATTTCTTGCTCCCCACTCTAGGCTGTTTCCTGACTCCCACATGCTTCCTGGTCACGTGAGAGGTGTCTTCCCTAGGGACCTTTTTGTGTTAACCTTTCTTCTTTGTTTATTTCAGAAACATGAGTTCTCTGTGGACATGACCTGCGAGGGCTGTTCTAATGCAGTCACCCGAGTCCTCAACAAGCTGGGTGGTAAGTGGGACTGAGGAGGCTGGACAGTATGAATGGGGGTAGGTTGGGGAATGAAGGTGTAACTGAGGCCACTTTCAAGTAGGTCATCCTCTGCATGCTCTTCTACTTAGCTATGAGCTGAGTACCCTTTCTTCTCATATGCTGGGCTATTTATGAAATCATAGACTGTATGAGATGGAGTAGGCCTTCAGTATCAGCTCATCCAGTTTTACAGATTAGGAAATTGAGGTCTAGAGAAAAGTGACTTGTTTGAAGTCATATAAGGAGATGATGGCAGAGAAAGGGTTAGAACCCAGAACTCCTAAGGCTTCATTTAGTGCCCTTTCCACCACACCAGGCTGCCTCTATCATATACAAAGATGACAGTATTAATCCATTGTCAGCGTGACAAATGCTTTGAGTTGTATCTCTAGTAGGGGAGATAGGTGGTCCTGAATAATTCATTGATTCATTTGTTTAGCAGCCATTTACTAAGTAATTTTTCATTTCAGTTCAGCAAGCAGTTATTAAGTATGTGCTGTATACAAGACACTATTCTGGGCATTGGGGATACAAACATAAAAATAGAGCTCTCTGTTTACCTAGACACTTTCATAGAGGCTTGAATTTTGATACTAGCTGGCTGGGCAGGGGGCTGAGGCTATAAGTTCTGCTAGCAGCTAGCATTCAGGGAACAGAATGCAGCCCTGCTAGCCTGCATATGACTATAGAGGAAAGGAGGGTCAGTCTGTATCCCTCTTTGTTAGAGCTGAATTCCATCCTCTTGAATTTTAACCTCAGAATGTCAACTGGTAGGAGAGGAGTAAAATGTGTGTTTGAAAAGTTCTTGTGAAAACAAGGATGGTCTATGTATGTGTCAATGTCTGCAAACATACTAGTGGTTTCCACCCTGCCACTTGTGAAGTAGAGCAGCAATTGACTCTTGGGAAAACTCCCAAGTTCTGTGCTAGGCAGAGAGGGTAGGACACGTGCCAGATCAGGTTCAAGCGTGGGGCTAATAATAAGGCCAGAGGTGTGGGTTCCATCTTCACAGGCACTAGCTACCTCTCACTCCAGCCAGCTACCTTATTATGTGTGGGTGAGAGAATATATGGATAGCTGAAAAGCATCTCCAAGCACACATTCTATACACAAGGAAGGGCCACCTGTGTCTCTGTGTTTTGCCTACTTTTCCTCAATGTCTAGCTTGCTTTTTCTCGATGATTATTTCTCCTGTCTCTGACTCTCTTTCTCACTTTTCCTTAACCCTCTCTCTCCTGCTTGTATATGAGGTCTGATTTCCCTCAGAATTTCCTCTCTCCACCGTACCCTCAGGATGAAAGAGCTTGCTAACCGCTGATGGCAGCTCTCTGAACAGCCAAGCTGAGTTACTTCTAGAGTAGAGTTTCTTAACCTGGGGTCTACAAACTTTGTGTGTGTAACTATTTCAATATAATTGGTTTCCATTGTAATTCTATTTTTTTTATTATATGCATTTAAAAGCAGTATTCTGAGAAGGAATCCATAGGCTTCACCAGACTGCCCAAAGGGATCTATAATACAAAAACATTACTCCCTAGTCTTGAAGCTAGTGCCATTCCTTTCAGCCGGTTGGGATTTGCTTTTCTCAAAGGGTCTCTGCTTGCAAATCTGAGCCTCTGAAAGCTTCCTTCCCTCTTTTCCATAAAGGAATCTTATTGGGAGAAGAAGAAGTGTCTTAGACCTGGCACTTTACAAACAAAATACTACCCCAGATCTTGAACCTGTTGGGTAGGGGGAGCTAGCCACATGTTTGATGTTTTTCTTGGGCAGGGGGCTGAGGAGACTGCGTGAGAGAAAGTGCCCCAGTCTGCTCACACAGTAGGAGCCAGGCTCTATTCTTAGCTCTACCAATTAATTCTGTGCATGACTTTAGGCAAATCTATTTCTTTGTAGGCCTCAGTTTCCTCCTCTAAAAATAAGTGTGTTAAACCAAATGATTTCTTCCAGCTCTAAGAGTCTATGACTGGCCCTGAACTGTGTACTTCCTAGTTGGGGCCTGGATCTCACCCTTTCTAGTTTGAACACTTCTCTAAGGTCACTTGAAAATATCTCATTTTTCTGTTTTGTTAACAGATGCTGCCTTAACAATTTCTCAGGCATATCCTATTTTCTGTACTATAAGAAGATAGCTAGGTGGTGTAGTAGATAGAGTGCTGGGCCTGGAGTTAGGAAGATTCATCTTCCAGAGTTCATATCCAGCCTCAGACGTTTACTAAACTTTGTGACCCTGGGCAAGTCACTTAACCCTGTTTCCCTCAGTTTCCTCATCTGTAAAATGAATTGGAGAAGGAAATGGCAAACTACTTTAGTACCTTTGCCAAGAAAACCCCAAATGGGGCCACAAAGAGGTGGTTACAACTGAGATGACTGAATAACAACATTTTAGAAGAAGTCCTGGCCTCTGGAAGCCAGAGGAAGTAAGATGCTTCCTCTAGTCAACTACAGCATCCAAGTACCTCCAAAGGGAAGGCTAAGCTGTAGCAAATCCTGATCCTCAGAGCATCAAGAGTACTAGGGGTGCTGCTGGTAGGGAGAGAGGAGAAGCAAAATGGAGAGATTATTTGCTTTCAGGAGCTCAGAGTTTGGGAACTGGGTACCTACATCATATTGAGCACTTTGGGGTGGGCAGCACTCACCCCACCATCTTGAGATAGGTTCCAAAGTGGGCGAGTTCAGCCCTGCCCACAAGGATCTAATGACCATCATATCTTTCCTCTGCTGCTGGGATATCAGAACTCCTTGGCAGTCAGCTCCTAGTCTCCTGGTCATTCTCAAGCCTTTTCCATCCCTGGATCACAGTACCCTAAACCCTGTGCTTGTATATGGGGACTTCAGTGGACATGGCGATGACCCCTCAAGTCCCTGGCCTCCCACCTCTGCTACACGCAGCTCTGTGCCCTGACATAACTATTCAACTTCCTTGATCCAGAACTCCAAAACTCTTTCTCCAGTTATAACCTGTTTTTCCATCTCTCCCTCTCACTCCTCCTAAACCTGTTCTTCATCTTCACTGTAACCTACAGTACTTCCACAACCTCTTGTTTTCTTAATTCATCTGTCATCCCTATTCTGGTCTCACTTCTGTCCTTTCACATGCTTGACCCAGTGTCTTGACCCTTGTCCTCTTGTCCTTTTGCCAGTCAGGCTTGCAACCTTAGGTAACCCCCACCATCCAGTTTCTCTTTTGCTATTTTTGTCCTGCTGAAAACTCCTGGGGAAAGTTGTGTAAACACACACACACACACACACACACACACATGCGTGCGCGCACACGTGCCCACGCGTCACACACGTACACACATATACATGTCTATGTGTATACATATATACATATGTACATGCACATATACACATACAGATATGACTCCCAGATGTCTATATTCTGCTCCAGCCTCTCTTCTGAATTATAGTTTCAAATTACCCATGGCCTGTTTGACATTTCCAGAATATTCCACCAGCATTTCAAACTCAGTATATCCAAAATGGAACCTATTTTCTTTCCCTCTATCCTGTCTCCAAACTTCCTCTGTTTCTCAGAATCAAGAGAAATCTCTTGAATTCTTTTCTCACTCTCCTTCCAGTCACTTGGGTTCATGGCCTCAGAATCATTCTTGATTCTTCCCTCTCCCTCCTCACCTCCCTCCATGCTCTGTCAGTTTTATCAGTTCCACTTCTACAATATCTTTTGCATATATCCCCTTTTCTCCACTCACACAGCCTTTAGCCTAGTTCAGGTCCACATCCTCACATCCTTCCCTGGTTCTCTTCTCTACAGTCTATGCTTGACACTCTTGAAACAAGCACATGACCTGTGTGACTTCCTCTATGTAAAAAAAATCTTCAGTGGATCCCTTTTGTCTCTAAAATAAAATACAAAATATGCAACCTAACATTTAAAGTTCTCTATGAGTCCCATCTGCTTTTCTAGTCTTATTTAATATAGAGCTTCTCACTATTCCCTATACATGATATTTCATCTTCACCTAAGTGCCTTTGTACAGGTGGTCCCTTACATCTGGAATGCACTTCCTCCTAACCTTCACTTCTTGGAATCCTTTTCTTTATTCAGAGCACAGGTAAGGTTCCCCTTCCTATGTGAAGCCTTTCCTGATCTGCCCTAGTTTTAAGCTTTCTCTCCCTCCTGAAATTATTTTGAATTACTTTTAATTTACTTCTTTGTGTATATATTGTATTCTCCACCTGGGAGAATGTAGACTTCTTGAGGGAAGGGCCAGTTTTGTTTTTGCCCCAGTTTTTGCCTTTCACTCAGGTTCTTAATTCATGTTGAATTGAATTCCATACTTGAATCAGCAACCCAGGGCCAATAGATAGCCAGGGCAAGGTTGAGTCAGCAGATCCCAATCTACCAGGTGAGAGAAATAGAGAAATAAGAACACTAACTAACATTTATATAGTACTCCAGAGTCTGCAAAGTGCTTTACCTATATTCTTTCATTTGTCCTTACAACAACCCTAAGAGATTGATGCTATTTTTAGCCCTATTGTGTAGATGAGGAAACTGAGGTGGAGAGCATTTGATTGACTTGCCCACATCACATTGATGGTAAGTGTCTGAGACAAAATTCAGACTTAGGTCTTCTTTACTCCCACTCCAGTATTCTAACCACTGCACCAGCTAGCTTCCAGTAGGCAGTGTGGGCATCCCTCAGTCTGTAGGGATGGTGTGGGAGCATAATAGTAGGCCATGGTGGGTGGGGGGAGAAACAGACACAAGAGGGGAATCACAGAATATTAGTCTTGAGAGGACAACAAAATGTTAACTTAAAAGGTGCCAGAGAAAGATAGTTGGAAGCCTTCCTTCAGTGGCATTTCTCACAAGAAGATGGAATAGGAGAGCACTGGATTGGGAGACTTAGAGAGTCCTAGAGTTATGATGGACTATTAAACCTGGAATAGACACTAGAAATGATCAGTTCCAACTCCTTCATTTTATGAAGAAAGAAAAACAGGGGCAGCTAGGTGGCACAGTGGATAGAGCACTGGCCCTGGAGTCAGGAGGACCCAAGTTCAAATCTGGCCTCAGACACATAACACTCACTAGCTGAGTGACTCTGAGCAAGTCACTTAACCTCATTTGCCTCACCAAGAAAAAAAAAAAGAAGAGGAAGAAAAAGAGAAAAAAAATAACAAGTCCCACAGAGGAAAAATGACATACCCACAATAACACAGTAAGTTATCAGAGTTGGTCTTAGTGTCCAGGTCTCCTAACTCCCAGTCCAGTGCTTTTTCTTTATAATAGGCTGCCTTTGTGTATAATATGTGTGACAATGGGCAAGTCACTTCTCTCTCTGAGCCTCCTTACCTACCTCATGGGGTAGTTGTGAAGAGAGTGTACTTTGTAAACTGTGCAGCACTATAGAAATGGGAGCTCTGATTATTGTTGTTCCCTCCCACCCCTCGGCAGGGGTCCAGTTTGACATCGACCTGCCCAACAAGAAAGTGTGCATCGATTCAGAGCATAGTGTGGAAACACTGCTGGAGACACTGAAGAAAACGGGAAAGGCCACCACCTACCTTGGGACCAAGTAGCAGGAAGCTCCACCCTCTGGCCAGCAGGATGAGCCAATGGGGGCAGGTCAGTCAGGCCCTGGGCTTTGAGAACAACTCTTCCACATTGCCCCCCATCAGAAGAGAGGACTTGCCCCAAGCCCTGTCAGAGGTCTAGAATTTGAGAGCTAGAAAGCAAGTTGACCCTTTCTGACTCTTTCACCACCTTATTTTGGCTTAGAGTACTAGTTATAACAGTTGGTGCTTCACAGTTTAGAAAATATTTTCCTCCCAACAGTCCTATGAGGTTAGTGGTGCATGTGTTAGTATTACCATTTTATAGATGATGAAAACTGAGACTCAGGAAATACACGTGACTTACCCCTAGGTCATGAAGCTAGTGACTGGAAGAGCATGGACTTAGCCTGGTCTCCTGACTTCAAAATGTTCGTAACCCATAGGTATTCATCCCACTTTCTTCACATATGCTAACATTAAACTAAGCAGAAAATATAATCTCCAGTGTGGACTTTTGTCTTTCTTTTTCAAGATGGGTGTTAGGTGTGCCCTAATCCATGTTCCTTTCTCTTCACCCCTTTCTTTTTGTTTTCTCAATTATGTGAAAAATTTTTTTTAAATTTTGAGTTCCAAATTTTCTCTCTCCCCTGCCTTGAGAAGGTAAGCAATTTGATACAGATTCTACATGTGAAGTCATGCAAAACATATTTCCATACTAGCCACCAACATCCTGAAAAAAGAGACAAAAACGCATCCTGGACATCATATCTTCTGCTTCGTTTAATGTTACCTTCTGTGAATATGGTGGGATGAATACCTGTGGATTGTGGAGAGTTCCACCATCATCATCATTATCATCATCATCATTAACATTTACATAGCACTTTAAAATTTGCAAAATGTGTTGCACAGTATCTTATTTGATCTTATAACAACCCTTGGAGGCAGGTAGCTATTATTGTCTCCATTTTATAGAGGAGGAAAACTGAGGCACAGAAAAAGATTAAGTGACTTCACACAGCTAGCATCTGTGATGGGAACTCAGGTCTTTCTGATTCCAGGTCTTCCTGCACTTTATCCACTGGGCCACCACGTCGCTGCCTCATAAGCTTGTAAAAAGTATAAGGTGAAGTGGCTGGACTAGATTTCTGCTCACTTACAGGACTAAGCTTAGTTGTATATAGTATTGTATACTGTTTTGCAGATAGTGTGTATATATAGTGTTTGTAGACACAAGTGTCAGCTTCCCAGGTCTAGGGTTCTATTACTTTATCCCCAGGAGGTGTAGGTTGTACCCTACCATTCTTATCTCTCCAGTGCCCAGAAGAGTGCTGTGCATGTAGGCCCTCAGTAAGTATTTGTTAGTTGAACTAATGAGTGAATGCTTGTATAAGAAATCCAGATGACAGTGGAACACTGTCCACAGCTGTCCTCTTTATGGGAGGGGGGAGGGGAAGACTAGCCAATTCTGCTGTCGCTGTAATGTCGCCTTGCCTACAGCAGGGGGAGCCCTCGTCCTGCCTAACTTTCCCTCTCCTTCCTCTGCTTGCAGGAGCCCGAATGACAGGCTCCCCAGGATCCATCCGCTCCCATTCTGGCCAGATATGGGAAGGAGGGGAGACCTGGGAGTGGAAAGGAAAGAGAGGAAAGAGCGCATCAATGACTGGGAGCCCGCAGTGTTCCGGGAGAGCCCTTCGGCTCACCATCCCTCTTTCTTTGCCACCCTCTAATAAAATGGAGCTGGTTTTTGCTGGAAAAGAGTTCTTCTCTGCATCTTTGGTTCCCACTTTCCCAGCAACAGAAGTTATGGGATTTCAGGCCCTCTGCCATTGCAATCCTGTCCAGTCATTCCACAAGCAGTGGGGAGAGAACTGGGGGAGGGAGGAAGGAAGCAGAAAGACAGGGAAGAGAGAATTCAGGGTCAATGTCTCCTCTATCCCAGGATACCAAAACCCCACCATGTGGCCTCTACATCAAGGCAGCCCCTTCCTCTGCAATGGGAATAAGGAGTTTTGGGGGAAATGTGGAGATGGTGATTTTTGCTGTTGTTTGAAGGGCTTCATTGTAACCAGCAGCCAATAAGAGACAAATCATTTTTCTTTCTTTTTTGGGGGGGTGGGAGGGAGGACTTACACAGCTAGTAAGTATCTAAGGCCAAATTTAAACACGGTTTCTCCTGACTCTGGGGCTGGTGCTCTATCTACTGTAACACCTAACTGCCCCCATTTTTCTCAGTAATATGCCAACAGTATGCCCAGTAGCTACCACCAAGTGATGAGTAGTGCCCTGGATTGAATTGTATAGGCCCAATGGTAGAATTACTTCTGAAACCAGAAACCACAGAGAGTATCATAACGTGGATGTACAGTGGGGCAGAGAGCTAGGTTCTTGTAGTTGTCTGGGACATTTGTAAACCTTAGTTTGAGTAGCTGGTTGAAGTCATATGGAAAGTAGTTAGTGACTGCCTGAATTTGGCCCCACAGATTAGGCTTCTGATAGCTCCGAAATGTCCCTCATGCCCAATGGGCCCACCCAGTCTAGGGAACTGACTAGGCCTTTCCACATGCTCTGTTTGGATGACCGTCTCCTACTGGGCTTTAGGAGCCTTCTCATGTCCCTGATGAGATAGCCCCAATGTGAGGGACTATATCCCTTTTAATATCACCACTATAAAGGTAGCAGGGGAGGAGAGCTTCCTACCAATACATGGAGGTCCATGATACAGCCATCCTTTCAAAGCAAGTAGCATAACTGGTATTAAGCACCACCTGTGTACTGTGCTCGGCACTTGGAGTAAGGAGGAGAGACAGAAAGAGACATTATAATCTCTGCCCCCAAGGAGCTTATAGAGAAAGAAAAATATCTACTATACTAGTCTCTTGGAAAGAAGAATAATACAGTTATTTACTGATTAAAAATCACATTTGAGTTTACGTAAGTCAAATTTGAGGCAAAAGTATGCATATAGTCAAGCCAGTAAGGTAAACTTTCGAAACAATAAGTACCCACTGAGCATTGTACTTTATAGATTACAAATATAGGAGTGCAGAGTAGTGAGAGGTTGTGGGCTGGAGTACTCAGGGGATGCTTTATGACAGGGGCAGATTTAAGCTGGGCCTTGAAGGACAGTTATAGTTCGTTCCTGATTCCTGCCTTACTTTTAAGGACCTTAAGTCCTCGGCCCTCAGGTTCATAGAATCGAGAGTTGGAAGGAGAGCCCAGAGAGGATCTATTGTAACCTCTAACTAAGCAGACTTCCTTCCTAGTCTCATCCTTTGCTTGAACATTTCCATTGATGGTGAGTTTACTACCTCCTGAGGGAACTCATTCCGTTGTTGAACAGTTTAGATTGTTAGGAAGTTCTCCTTACATGGAGCTGAAATCTGTCTTCTCAAATAACTTCCCCACCATTAGTCAGTCCCCTTTTGGGATCAAGTGGAACAAGCCAGACCTTTCTTCCATATAGTAGTCCCTCTCTTGGTCACCAGGGGGCAGGCTCTTTCAGCTTAGCACTAGAGAAGTTTCCAGAGGTCCTGCAGAACAGTTGTTTGGGGGAATTATCCACACGGCTTGGTGGTATTTTTCCACTTTGCTGACTAGGGTACCTGGCTCATTCAGGAGGTATCCTGGGATAGAGGAGACATTGACCTTGGCTTCCCCAGCTGGTGGTCATTCAAGATCTTCGCTTGATCTGTTGCCCTCAGCCCCTCTGCTCCATCTGTCCCTTCATGAAGGGTCTGGTTTCCTATCACAATTCCTTGGCTCTGCTTCCCCAGGGCCTGGGTGGGTCATGGTCATTGCTGTAACTAGTGTAAGCTTGGTTATCTAAGCTCTGAGCTAGAGAGAGAAAATAGATCGTGTATTTGCGTCACTTTAGAGCTGGAAGGGATTCTGGAGACCTAATCCAGTCCTTTTCTTCTTAGTATATAGATCCCTCACCCTAAATCCACCCTCATATTATCTTCAACCCCCTCATTTTCATAGGATCAAGAGTTAGAAGGGAGCTGGGAGGCCATCGGGTTCAATCCGATGTTATGGATGAAGATAAAGCCTAGGGCCCAGGGAGGTTAAGTGTCTTGCTCAAGATAATGCAGATAATAAATGTCAAAGGTGGGATTTGAACCTAGATCCTCTGACTCCAGAGCCAGTGTCTTTTTTCCCTCATGGTTCTGCCTATTATGAGCAGCATCTCTAGTCGAATAGAAAAGCTAAGGCCTAGTAAAGTAAAGCAGCCAAACACTGATCAGTTAGAAGTGACTCTTTTAGGTCCATCTCTTCATAAGGGTTTAATGACATTTAACTAGAAGAACTTGTGTGGTTCCTTTTGTAGCTTCCTTATCCCAGGGAATCAGCATGCCTACATCAGACATCTCTCCAGGTTATGTAGCTTAGGAATTTATTCATCCAATTTTTTAAAAAAAAAATCAGTTTTTATTGATTTTGCCTAAATTTTCTCCATCTCTTCCTTTCTTCCTATAATAAAGCTATTCCATATAGCAAAGTACATTTTTTAAAAAGAAGAATGAGAAAAAAATTAGCAAAACTGATCAATATATTGAAAAAAAATCAGAAATTATATGTGATGTTCCATACCCATAGACCTCCCACTTCTTCAAAGGAGTGGGAATTCTCATTTCTCTAATTTGGGGCCATTCTTGTTCTTGGTAATTTTAAAGTAATCACTTTCAAGTGTTTTATGGTTATTCTTTCCATTTGTGGTGTTATAGTCGTATATATTGTTTTCTTGGCTCTGCTTATTTCATTCTGTATCAGTTCAATTAAGTCTTTCCATGCTGTATTTTATTCATCATATTCATCATTTCTTATGAGGTAGACATATTCCATTAATTCATGTACTATAATTTATTTAACTGTTCCTCATTCATTGGACATCTGCTTTGTTTCCAGTCCTTTGCAATCACATAAAGTGCTGCTATAAATATTTTAGTGCATATTGAAATTTTCTTTTTATCTGTGACCTCCTTGGGGTGTTTTCCCAGAAGGAAAATCTCTAGGTCAAAGAGAACGGACATTTTAGTCACTTTATTTGTATAATTCCAAAATACTTTCCAAAATGGTTGTACTAAATGCACTAGTGTGCTTATCTTCCCACAGCCTCTCCAGCATTGACTATTCCCGTCTTTTGTCATCTTTGCCAATTGACTGGATGTGAAGTCAAATCAAGGATTGTTTGATTTGCATTTATTTTATTATTAATGTTTCAAAGCCTTCTTTCACATGACTATTAATAGCTGGTGAGTCTTTTAAGAACTATTTGTTCCCATCCTTTGACCACATATGCATTGGGAAATGGCTTTTGGTCTTTAATGTGGCACCTTCCAAAAATCTTAATGCAGTTTCAGGAAACTACACTAAGACTTTTGGTACACCATGTCTGTCTGTTAGTTATTTAACATTATCTTAGATACAAACTATTAAGAAATTTGATACAAACTTTTTTTTTTCCCTTGGCCACATTCATTCTTATCCTAGATGTATTAATTTTGTTTGTGCAGAAGCTTTTCAGTTTCATGTCATCCCAGTGATCTGTTTTATCTCTTGTAATTTATTCATTCAGCTCTAAACAACCCTGGGTTCTACTCCCCAGCCTCTCATGACACAGGAAAAAAGATCACACAAAACCTTAGAGTTAGAAGGAAACTCAAAGACCAGTAAGTGTGTGAGCAAGAATCCTCTCTGCAGTGTCCTTGACAAAAGGTAATCATTCTCTACTTGAAAACTTCCAGTGAGCTCACTGTCCTGAAGCAGTGCATTCCACTTTAGGTACCTTTAATTCTTAGACTTTTTTTTTCCCCTTTACATTAAGCTAAAATCTCCTGCAATGTTCACCTGTTTGTCCTGTTCCATCCATTCCGTCTTCTGGGGCCAGGCAGAACAAATCTCATTCTTCTTCCAAATGATAGCTCTTCAAGCACTTTGAATCCAGCTCTGTGAAGTTTCTCCTGTTTCCTCTTCTCCAGGCTAACATTCCTGGTTCTTTCAGCTCTTTTAGCATGGTTTCGAGTAGCCTTCCACACCTGTGCTGCAGTTTGTCCATGACCTTCCTAAAACGTGCCTCAGAATGAACATAGACTACAGATAATGGTCATCTCCCTCACTCTGGACACTGTGCTTCTCAGCATAGCCTGAGGTTGCTTTGGGCCTTTTGGCCCACTGTCGCACATTATTGGTTCATAGGGGCCAGTTGGACTTGGACTGTTCCTCATTTTTTTTCCCTTCACACTACTATTGTAGAACCATCCTGTACTTATACAGTTGGCATTTAAACCCAACTGTAGGACTTTGCAGTAATCAGTATTTAGTGAATAAAGTGCTGGACTTGCAGTCAGGAAGGCCTAGGTTCAAATTCTGCCTCTGATGCTAGTTGGGTAACTGTGAGCAAGTCGCTTTCACTTTTCTGAAACTCAACCTCCTCATCATTAAAATGGCGCTAATATCTGAAGTGCCTACCTCATAGGGTTGTTGGGAGGCTTAGATGAGATAATGTGAGTAAGTGCTTTGCAAGCTTGAAAATGCCGCATGAATCTCTAGTAGTATTATTATTACCCCTTTTAACTTCAGCCATATTAGTTTTGGCTCATTGTTCCAACCTGTACAGACATATTTGGATCTTGACTCACCTATCCTGTTCAACTATCCATCCCAACTTTGTCATCTACAGACTGAGTAAGTGGGCCACCTCTGTTTTCATCCAAGGAATTACCAAAAAATATTGACTAGAACAGAGCCCGTGACAG